TTTTTCTCCGTCCCATCAGGTTCGAGATAACGAAGTTTGACTGTATGTGTGAAGAATTTATATTTTTTTCAAAAAGGAAATTTGGAGCAGTATGACACAGCTGTAACTAAGTGCGAGATACACATGGATGCCATAAATAAAGAGAGAAAAGTAAGAAACTGATCAGGAAACTCAATTAATCATTAATAAAAACAGGAATTCTTATAAATTGTTGCTTTCACTTAACTCAGTTCTGATTTAAGTCACCTTTTTGTGTTCAAGGAGTCAGAATTGGAAGAAAAGAGACAGAATAGAAGGCTAGAAAAGAAGCAGAAAAGATTTGATGCCAAAGAGAAAGGAAAGAAAGGGAAGAGAGATGGTAATGAGAAGAAAAAGTCCTCACCTAAAGAAAGGGCAGACAAATCTTCACACAGAGATAAGGCAGACAGAACAGAAAACAGGAAAAGAAAGGTGACTTTACTGAATTATTGATTATTAAATAACAGTATTATTTATGAGAAATATATTTTGTATTTTTCCAATTGTTTTAAAATCTTAAAAAAGTTTGTGACTTTGTTATGATCAAACATTTTAACTCTACTGATTTAGGCAGGAGTCTACCGTTTTTTTACTCCATCTCCCACCTACCGCTTTTATTCGTAAATCTATCGCTTTTCTACAAAAGTTGTCAAAAGTATTTTGGTTCGCTTTGGTATCCATTTTGAAGCCAATTGTCATAAAATCTTGTTAGATATTTCATGATTTGACCCTGAAGTATACATATGTTTTTTTGTAACAATGTATACATAGATTTCAAGCACGTATTTGACAATGACAACACCACAAAACTCAGTGATTATATTGGTTATGATAAATTTCGTCCACATCACTGCAAAAAAAGGGAAGATATAGCATTCTAGAATTGGATGAAAATGTTTGACATCATCTATAAAAGCAAAGGTGCTTGCAATTTTATCAATAAAGTTAATAGAAATTACTCAATTGACATAGCCAATTTCTATGAGCTATATTGCATCTGTACTTTCGTTTTCGATAATCGAAGGAAATCTAGTTTATTAATGATCGAAAGATAAGAACTAGTCTTAGATATGGCTTAAACAATGTCATCATCTGCCGTGTTTGACAGCTGAATGAACATTTAGAATATTGCTCCCAGGCTACATGAACAAAGATGACCCTTCTAAAGGCTGTTAAGCAGTCAAAGCAAAAAATATTAATAATTTATGGCAAACTTAATGTTTTTCTACATGACTGTATCTACTTCATTGCAGTTGATATTTGAGATTAATTATTGCAGTGGTCAATTAAGGCCATATTTACGGGTACATAATATACATCTTTGTAAATCCATGCGTAAAACAACACACACAATGCTACCTCTTTTGAGTTCAGAATCTCCCTATTTTTCATCACAGTAGGGTAACAAGTATGTATGACTTTAAAAAGTCCTCTGTAGATTTTGATGTCATAACATCACAAGCCAATGTCAGAAATTCATATATTGCATAAAATTATTTACTGATATTACCGTTGTTCTTTGTAAGGTTTAGCAATGAAACTGAAAGTCAGGAATTTCTTAAGCTTAAAGACCCGAATGATTTGAAGATGAAAAGCGAGAAAGACAAAGGTTGACTAAATATTAGTTTACCAAGACAAAGTCAGAGTTCAAGTAAAAGTTTTAGGATTAAGTTCATGTAACTAAAAGCTCTACCTGGATCAAACTTGCATGAATGTTGCATTTAGGGATGGATACTACCAGATTTTGCATTGGATGCTAGACTTGCCTGTCATTTTCCAGATGAGTATAAACCAGTTTACCTTTTTTTTTTTGAGTAAGTCCAATCTCAAATATGGAAGTCCTGCCTTGACCAAACTTGCATTGATGATGCATCTAGGGGTTGATACCATGACTTTATTCAGATGCTAGATGAGATCGAAATTTTCCAGATACTAGTATGTGAACAGGATAAAGATTTTGGTGCTGGTCCATTACCAGGCAACTATAAATCCTTACTCCAAACTTAAATGCATTTAGGTTTTTGGATGTTCACTGGATAAAATTTGATGTGAAAATTGCTTTACATATCGATATCTTTTATCGAGGTGAGTTTTATGATTTTCGATTACCTGTTTTCCTCATCTTCATTCTTTTTTGAGGTCTTCCATCCTATTTCGTATTTTTTGTAAGGAAGAAACAAATTCCCTAAATTATATTGTTAGCAGTTTTTATCAGTATATAATATTTTTCAGTCAGAAGAGGAGCAACCTGATTTCAAAGTACCTGCAGTACCAAGTTCAAAGGGACCACCCCCTCCTGGGTTCAAGGAACCACCTCCACCTGAGTCCAAGGGACCCCCACCACCTGGGTATAAAGGGCCCCCTCCAGGGTATAAAGGAGAAGAGCATGCGGCAAAGAAACCCAAATTAGGTACATTAACTGGAGTCACTCTGACTTAATAGATGTTTTAATACTGTGATTGATTACCGGTACAGTGAAACCCAGCATAAATGAAAATGCATGTGAATTAAGATTTTTAAATGTGTATCTATATTGCAAAGGTGCAGAAATTGAATGACTGTCCATCTACAATGAATTGCATTTTAAGTTCATAAGACTTAATTATTTAAAATTTTTATATCTATGGATACAAGATTCCTGTTTCAAATTTTATGCTATCATTATTCAATTTACTAAAAATGAAATAGTATGACATTTTATCGGTGAATTCAATATCTACCTGTTAGAGGAGGAAACACCCAACAGTGGAGGCCAGGGGGATGTTTCAAACACTCAAGGAGATTTTGTTGAGAAAGCCGAGCAAGATCCAAATAAATCCAGACGTACAGCTTTCGTCAGTAATCTGGACTACTCCATAGATGAGGATAGGATCGGTCAACTTTTTGCCAAGGTGATTTATTTTTTGCTGCCTCATTGAAGCAAAAGTGTCATTTTTAAATTAATTAAATTTTCTTATGCCATCACACAATGAAAAGACTTGTACATGTTCTTTGAATGAAATTGTTGTAGTGTGGGGAAATGACAGATATTCGACTTGTGAAAACTATTAGAGGAAAATCTAAAGGATATGCTTATGTAGAATTCAAAGATGAGGTAAGAGCATGTGAACTAATTATCATATGTTTAATAATATTAATTAGAAAATTCTTTTATGAATAAGGTATTGTTTGAATCATTGAAAACATCTGGTTTTGTTGAAAAGCCATTCTGCTTGACTATCAGAGGACAAAGTAAATGAAAATGACAATTCTGTTCTTCTTTTGTATTGATTTAGCTGGGTATGTTAGAAGCATTAAAGCTGGACAGGACACCTGTTGAGGGTAGACCAGTCTTTGTGTCTAAATGTGAAGACAGAAGTCAAAAGAAGGCTCAGTTTAAGGTGAGAGAGATGGGGAATGTATCGATTGTGTTACTGTTATTAGAAATGTGTGTTACATTCTTTTACATATAATAAAGTGCAGTAGGATGGATGAAAAAAAACAGCAATAAGTAAAACATTGTTATCAAACCATGTATGTGAAAAGAAAACACGAAAAAAATGTTTTATTTCCACTCTATGTGGTCTCTAACTTGTTGTAACTTATGAAAGGCTGTTATTTGTGTTTCAGTTTTCTACTGAAATGGAGAAGAACAAGCTTTTTGTGAAGAATCTTCCTTTTACTTGCACCAAGGAGGCTTTGGTCCAGATCTTCAGTGAGGTAATTACCTGTTTAATTATCATGGTAGACATTTTTTAATTTACATGTATTACAGTTTGTCCACATTTATACATTAATGGGTGTAACATGATTTTAATTTACAGCATGGCCCTGTACGAGAGGTCAGAATGGTGACATACAGAAGTGGGGCTCCCAAGGGGTTAGCCTATGTGGAGTTTGAAGATGAGGTAAATTTGCAAATAAAAACAAATATTTTTCAAGCATGTCCTAAATAAAAGCCCAATTCTTAGAGATAATGTTTTCTTTTGTTTTTAGCAAGATGCAGCCAAAGCGGTGGTGAAGACAGACGGACTGAAGATTGGTGACCATGAGATTGAGGTCGCCATCAGTAACCCCCCACAGAGAGGCACCCCACTCAGCAGCAGGGATGAGACGACCTTCACCCCAACACTGGGAGGGGGAAAGAAAGAGACAGAAATGTAAGGAGGGAATTTGTTGATTTATTGTTAATTGATTTAATCTATTTTTTTTTGGAGGGGATGGGATGTAGTTGTGATAACTTCTGCATGTGGTTCAGACTGCACAAAAAAATACATTTAAAACAATTCAATTTAAAGGGAAACCAAATTTTCTATCTCTGCACCAATTTAAATTCATACCAAGTGGTAAATATATGTTGTAAACATTATGCATACAATAATTGGAATATAAAGATCTAAACTGCATAATTTATCAGAAGTTTCCAAATTAATTTTCAGTAACCATATTTTGTTTTTAGGAGAGGAAAAGCCCGCACACAGCTGTCCTTAGTGCCAAGGTCAATCCAGAGGACACCAGCTACAGCAAAGAACCCTAAACCCCCACCTTCACAAAACACAGAGTCTAATGGACAGCCAGCAGCCAATCCAACAGCAACAAAAATGAGCAACGATGATTTTAGAAAAATGCTGCTGAAAAAATGATTTATAATTTTTTTAGTGAATGAACTTAGTTGTTTGTTATGTATTTGTTTTTGGTAAGTTAAATAAAAGTACAAAGTGAATTGATCTCCTACTACAGTTGTACTTTATTCTAAGGATTGTATAACATAACTGATAAGAAAGGAAGACAGCCACTATTTACAAGTACATGTATGGAAATAAGCGGTGAAAAAGTACACCATGAGTGGTTTAGAGTGCATTTTCAAAAATGTTCCACTTTCCTTTGTGTTGACAAAATTAATGGACAATACATAACTCATGGTATGTTTTTTGACAACTTGTATTGATGAATTTTGAATATTTTACTTGGTATTTCTATTTCAATGAAACCTTTTTAAAGTACATGTACTACAAGAGCTGTACTGTTATGGGTGATTGATTTGACAGTCCAGGGAAATGTTAACATTTAGGAGGTCAACTGATACTTAAAAGCATTTATGACTGTTCAACTGTTTTGAAATGAAGACATGTTTGTGTATGGAAAGACTTCATTAACAAGTCAGGAGGGAGCTTGTGTATTAAGCATAACTATACTTGCACATGGTCTTTAGGCCACCTGAGTAGTCAAGGTCTCGAGTAACCTAGCTATTGCTATCTGTTTAAGTCTGTTGGACTGCTATGTGCATTAACATTTGAACCTTTTCAGCTTCCTCTATAAAACAACTCAACAAATTTCAACCAATTTTGGCATATAGCATTTATGAGTAGGGGGAACAAAAATTGTGAATTTCATCCCTCCACCTGACAAGAGGGGCGGGGCCAAAACCACTAAAATTAACGCCATCTTTAAAAATCTTCTTTATTCCTAGACATCAAGCAGTCAAATTGTTGGCATGAGTGTAATGAGCATTGAGTTCTCTACCAAAATTGTGAAGTCCATGGCCCCAGGGTCAGGGGTTCTAGTGTTAGGGCGGGATTTTATAGATTATATAGCGAAAGTGGACTATTTCTTTGAAAATTTTCTTCTCTGCTCCTGGGTGTTAAACAAACTAACTTAATGTATAATTATGATGGGGAAGGGTGTCCCTTCCCAAATTGTTTTCATGACCCCTGGGTCAGGGTTGCTGGTGTTAGCATGGGCTCTATTAATTAAATAGTGAAAATGCATTCATTCTTTGAAAATCTTCCAATCTCTTGGGTATTAAAATAAGTATATGTATGCACATAGTTATGATTAGCAAGGGTGTCTCTTCCAAAATTGTAAATTTCTTGGCCCCTGAGTCAAGAGTTCTGGTGTTAGGCCAGGGATCTATTGATTATAGGGTGAAAATGCATTAATTAATCTCCGTCCTTTCACAACCATTACTTTTCATATATTTCTACTTAAGTAAATCCTGATCTCAGCATTGCTGCATCAAAAACTATATGCTTGTGTGTGTGTGGGGGGGGGGGGGGGGGAGGGGGGTCAATATTAAAGGTTATATTTGGGGGAAAAGTGAAGAGCCCCTCCTCACCTTCTCGTCCTAGAGGATACTACATGCCTTGCCTGTCAAGTCTTCAACTTCTACCAAAAAAGTTGAAGGATATAAACCTAAAAATTTTATGTTCTTATAAAATTGAAATTCATTTTTATCTTCTCTCCTAATGCCAGCTGAACAGTCTCTTAAGATTCATTAATAATTCACAGTTCGGTTTGTGAATACGCAAAATCCTGGAAAGTGAACTGACTGGCCTTGAATTATTATTTCCTAGTACTACGGAGATGACCAATAGCTTACCGTGACCAGACGACAAATCATGATTAAGGTGCGACTAGTCACCTAGGAATGTCATGTGTTTGCTACGATAAGACAATGTACACAGAATTACGCAATCTCTTTTTTCCTAGATGATTCTTAAGTTGACACTGTTGACGTTTCTGTTGGTGAGCACAGCGGCTGCAGGTTCCTCACGGAATTCGAAATGTGCAGATGGAACGCAAGGCTTCGCTGACGTAACCCGCTGCATATGGTGCACGTGCACGGGGAATGGATACTTTGATTGTCGCAACCTGTGTGATGCCAGATTTCCGTTTGCCAAAGGTATTTCGGTTTATATTTGCGTATTGGTATTAATATTAAAATACATATACGGAACACAGGTGCTTGAGGACAGGACCCCCCCCCCCCCCAATATAGACTCCCGGGCCTGTTAGACTTTTTTCACATAAATTATATATGGATGACACATTTGTGATATAATCTATCCTATCAATTCAGAAAAATTGCTTAAATAAACATTTTATAAAAATTTCTACCCCACCCTCTATATATATAGAATGTAGGGTAGATTTTATAGAACGTTTGTCTTAGGTAATTTTTCGATTTGTTGGTATAGATCTTACCACAAATATGTCAATGAAAGATTATTTATGAGAAAAAAAGTCGAAAAAGCCAGGGGTCTATATCGAAGGGAGGGGGGGGTCCTATCCTCAAGCACCTGTGATACGGAATATACGAGCTCAGTACTATGTCTCGTTGATTTTAACAGTCAAATAATAATCTATAGAAACACTAGTGAGAGGGGACACATTCGAACAGAAATTCCTAAAAAAGAGAAAAATCATGCAATATTAGGGAGGGGGCATGTAACAGTACATTAGCTTGATTGTTGTTATAAGCCTAGAAAGATTTCCGTAAACAGAATTTTGATTACAAAAACATTAACTTTTATAATATAACTTTATGTGATGCAGTTTAAATAAAGTCTGCATTTATGGACCTCAAGTGGAATTGATACGTTTTTTTTAATCCCTAAACAGCTCCCATATCAAACGTGTTAAGTTTTTTAAGACGGCGTTATGATACACCCCCGCCACTAACTACCACCACAAAAGGTACCACAAACTCACCACCACCTTACACGACACGGACACCACCACACCCAGGGACAACGAACGGCCCAACAGCGCCCACAACTACCGACGTCAACCACCACACTCGGTCGCCACCGCCACCAAAATCAGTGGTTGGATAAACAATTGTGATTTTTTTGTGAATTGTTTTAATGAAATGTTGTTTTAAAAAATGTTGATAAAACAGAATTGATCTTCATTCATCCAGAGCCGCCGAAATATGGCTGAAATATTGCTGACTCGGCGTTAAACAATATACAATCAATCAATCATTCATCAAGAACTAGCCAAGGATTTCTTTTATGCTATTCTCCTCATAAACGAAAACCCTTGGCTAGCGAAGATGCAACTTGGGGGACATACATGTATTTGTGTAAGACTGTAACCATCCGGGGCCAGGAAAACATCAAAATAGTGAAAAACAAGACGTTTTTGCGAAACACTATGCGCCCAGCGGCAACAAAGTTCGAAAAAACTTTTTTTAGCATAAAGGTCAAGGTCACAAGATCATTTGCCTTGATTATTGAAAGAACTTGAAATAGTGGAGTATGCATACCAAATATGACGCATCTTTCTCCTATGGTTGAAAAGGTATGGCGAAAGTTCAAAAAAGCTTTTTTAGCATATACATTGTAGGTCACAAGTCTCTGTCTCTCACGGTTCAAAAGTTATGGCGAAGGTAAAGTTGACAACAGACAGACATGACAACAACAATATACGCCCCGAATCTATTGATTCGGGCGCATGGAAACCTGGAAAACGCCATATATTTCGGAAAATAGACACAGCACCTACATATATTCGTCCCCTCTCCCCACGGACTGTCCGTCACTTTCTTGGCTTGAGGAGTATGTAAGAACAAACTAAAGTGCATACTCTTAAGGACTCTCGATCCATCATTTGATTCTTTAAAGTTTAACTCCCTTAAGTTTAAACTTATACATAACTTGTTTAAACGTAAGACTAAACTATTTACAAATAAAAATGTTTTGGACATTATTCGTACTCAAGTAAAGCTCTATATGTACATGGGCATTGGAACTGGGAGGGGGGAGGGGGCTTAGGCCCCCCCCCCCCCCACATTTTTTGGGCAAAGATAGACATAATATAGGTAATGAACATTTGTGGGTGGGTTTAGCACCCCAATCGACCTGCACCACCACTTTGAACAGACATAAAATTTAATGATGCTTTCACAGATTCTTTTATATACATAATGTACGTCATTGTGCATCTCCTGTTTTACTTTCTGGTTTGACACTTTTTTGGCGTCTCCCAGAGCAAAACATGGACTGGGCCATTATAAACACATGGGAGGCGGGGTATCATTCAGTGAGCTCTGTGTATGCTCACAGTACCTCTAGATTTAATAATGAAAAGAAAAGTTAAAAACTTCAAGCGTCTGTAATATGAGTGATGGCAAAATGTAGATTCTTTAATCAGAAAAGAAATCGAAGAAAATATATTTCTGACCCCTCTGTTAGAGAAAAAAATCTCATCTTCAATAGTAAAAGTAATGTTTTGGAAAGGTTGGGTTGTTGGTGTTGATGAAGGGTAAATCCCTTGTTACTTTTCGCCACACTATAAAAATTGTCGATTTTTATGCGCCCGCATCGATAGATCCGGGGTGCATATTGTTTTTGTCCTGTCTGTCTGTCTGTATGTCAGTTTATCTGCAAACTTTAACTTTTGCCACACCTTTTGAACCATGAAAGATAGTGACTTCATATTTGTTATGCATACTCACTTATTAGCTCTTTCAAATGACACCAAGGACAACGACCTTTTGACCTTGACTGTGATCTATATGCTAAAAATAGCTTTTTCTTACCTTTTCTTTTTGTGACCTTGACAGTGACTTTTATGCTAATAATAGCATTTTTCGACTTTTTTCCACCGGGCGCATGTTTCACAAACACATCTTGTTGAAAACTATATTTTATATGTTTCGATAATGGAACAATCTGACGGAATTAGGCGGTAGAATATTACACTTACCTGGTATTAGGTCAAAGTAAAATAAAAAATAAAACAAATCACTGATTACACGTACACTGGTTTGTTATCATTAAAAATATCTCGGTGAAGTTCAAGGAAATGAAGACCAAGACGAACATTTTTTTTTTATTTCGAAAAATCAGTCGAGTGTCATCTAAAACCCACAACTGAGCTTCATGCTCTTGTTTATTTTCAGAAACATTTTTTTCAGTGGCAACTGCAACAACTTTAAAATACAGAATTAGAAAATTAACTTTCAAAGAAAACTTCATTATTTTACTCACTCAAAAATTTTTATTATTCTATATTTACATCCGCTGAATATTTTCTCCTTTATTTCTTAAGAAAACCCTTTGCGTTAATCACTGCATGAACTACAGTCGGCATGTCGCTTGTACAGATTTCTTATTCAGTGGCCATTCCATCAATGAAACGTATAAACACGTTCGCATCATTAATACGATAATTAATCTTTTTAATCCTACTTTAAATGATTATTTAAACAGATATAAATATAAACAATAAAATGTCTTTCTTTGTTTGTTATTGCTGGAATTAACGGTCGCAGCTATTGCAGAAAAAAATGACATAACCCGCTTACGCGGGTTATGTATTTTTTTCTGCATCAGCTGCTTCCGTTAATTCCAGTAATAACAAACAAAGAAAGCATTTTATTGTTTAAATAAATGCACATATCC